ACGGGGATATTGGCATGAAAAACAAAAGTTTTTTACCGAGACATCATTGCATTTCCAAAGGGGACAGTTGCACAAACAATGGCTGTTTTTTTTTACTGAGAAATTGCTGCAGTTCCAGCCGGGATAGTGGCACAAAAATACAACCGTTTTTTACTGAGACATTGCTGCACGCTGCATTTCCAGCAAGGACAGTGACATAAAAACAGCTGTTTCTACTGAGACGTTGCTGTGTGTGTCAGCCAGGATTGTGCCCCCCAAATCCAGGTATTTTAAGTCAAAACAGGATCTTTTCCTCACCATAACCAAGTGGTTTGCGCCTAAATCTAACCACATATTGACCACAGTGTTGCTGAAAAGCTTTGACGTATCTATGACACGATGATTTGCGCTTGTAACGTAACAAATCAAACGTAACGTATATACAATGCCAAAACTTTGGCACCGTTAAACAGCAGCCTTCACTGAGGTTTAGTTGCTGCTCAGAAACAGCAGACTGAAACAGGTTGTATATTTATGAGCTGTAATTTGAAGTTTTAAGTTTTAAGTGGTTTCGTTTGAAGCCCTTCTTGTAAAGTACAAACCTTTGTTTTACCTCTCATGTGATTTCTCCCACTGAGCACAGGGGCTCATTACCGCCGCCTGTTCCTTCATCTTTTCTTTTCTCCTCCACACTTCTTCCCTTCATCCTCTTTGAAGGTCCCCCATTAACAGCACTGCTCTCTTTTTTCTCTCTGTGTATGTGTGTGTTCTTATCACATTCCTGCGTGTCACTCCTTCATGTATAAGAGACAACTATACCATTGGCTTCAGCTGCTGCAGACTCCCCGCTGTGACCAGATCATAGCAGCATGTGTGTGTGGGAGAGCAGCCGGGGGGCGTGTTGTGATCCGTTTGTGATAACCAGCGAGACAGAAAAAACACAGCTCCTCTCGTCAGCTTCAGTAGCTGCTGCAGGCCTGTGTTAAAGCCCCAACGTGAGTGTTCAGCCTCATTAGCCGAGTTGGTCTGTCAGTTCACTCAGCACTAAGTCAGTGGACAGATCTCTGACTTCTTCTGACTCCAGCTGGTCAAAATGTCTGACGCTTTCTATGACTGCATACCTCTGTCCTGTTGGGCTTATGCTGTACATACATGTGTCATTACAGCAGCTAAAACTTCTAACGTTAGCCTTAGCATGTACTGTAGCATGCTAATCCCGTGTTGTTGTGTGTTAGTCACATCATAATTATGAGCAACGGATCAGGAAAAAAACATTCATGTTAGAGACATCAGGAATTTTAAACAGCAACAGTTTCTTCTGTTTGATGACAAAATGGCTGCAGACCCTTCAGTGCTGGCACTTAGATCTAGGGCTCGACAGATAATTGGCCTGGCTGATTATAGGGCCGATATTAGGAATTTTTAGGGTTATCGGTATCAGTGATTTTTTTCCACCGATACGCCGATATACAGTTTTGTTTTCTTTAGCTGCGCTGTTTTGTCCCTGGTGTGCTTCTTACTGCCTGCACGTACCGCTCTAGGCTCTTAAAAGCAAACTCAAGACCTACCTTTTTAGCCTGGCTTTTAATTGAGCTCTCCTTTATTTTATTTTATTATCATTTTATTTTATTTTATCTTATCGTCTTTTATTGTTTTTCATTTTATTTTTTAAATGTTGTATTTATGATTATTGTATATTTATTTATTTATTTATTTTTATTAGTCTCTTTTTATTCAGCTGGTTTATTCTTCAACTTCGTTACTTATTTATTTATTTTTAACTTATTTATTTTCCGATTTATTGAAAGATTTAAAACATTGTACTTTATGCTGAGTTTTTATCCTGCTTCTGGTGTTTCTTTGTCAGTGTTTTTTTTTTTTTTTAAATTCTGTGTCAACTATGATTTTTACAGCAGACATATATCAGTTGTAAATATCGGCTATCTGTATTTCTGTTTCACAATAATCTGTATCAGCATTGGCTCTGAAAAAACCATATCGGTCGATCCCTACTTAGATCTAAGTGAAACCCAACAATAACTCTGATTAAGAACTACACACACTTTATTTATCTGGTTTCACTTGTTAATAAACCGACACTGTTACGTCACCAGGGTTGGGGAGTAACAGAATACAAAATACGGGAGCGCAGGTAACCTCCTAACACGGGGTAAACTGTAACACAGACTTTCTAAAGGTTACAAAGGGTCGATCCTTTCTTGCCTCAGACCAGTTGACAATACATCAAACAATGACATGATGACAATGAGTGCTTTAAGCCGACATAAGTAAAATTCTTTGTCATACTTGTTTTACAATTAGTGAGCTGTCAATGTAAGTCACCCGTTACAACCATGTAGCACCGTAATAACTGTATTGTTGCCGAAAACGTAGCACATCAGGACACTGGCGGGTTTTTTTTTGGTATGAAAATATAAAACCCAGACAAATGAGCTCAGCAGTTTTGCAGCATCCCAAAAATAATTCAAAGTATTTAGTAGTGATGCATGATATTGATTTTTTTGCTGATATCCCACATGCTTATATATAACAACTTATTTGGCTGATAACCGATACCAATATCAACACATCCACTTTTTTCCCCAACTGATTTTAGTGATCATCGAGTCACTTCTGTCATGGAATTAACATCATATTATACACACTCTTATCATGACGGCCCACCAGCAGATGGACACATGAAACAGAAAGCTTTTCAATGTATGTAATATTCAGTAATTGTGCCAAATAAGAAAAAGCATTTTGGACGATTTTAAGGCCAATATCAGCCGATATCGATGACGTACTGATGTTATTGTGCATCCCTAATATTTAGAATACGGGGCTTAGTTTGAGTGATCTAATGGAATATGTTACAAATGACATTGTAGAGCACGTATTCAGTAATCTGCAGTGGAATATGTTGTAAAAGTAACAATGCATGTAACACAACAAGTTACTTTCTTGGTAAAATCATATTAAAAAGACAAAAAAAGTCACAGATATTATCTTAGTATAATGAGTCATTATTGATAAAAGGCTGCTGAGGTATAAACCTTATGTGCAGTGCTTGTAGAGAGCCGTCTGACACTGAGCAGACTGAATCATTAGTTCACTTACTGTTGTTCACACTGAAGTGCCCTTGAGTGATGATGCGACTGCTGAGCTTCAGGAAAAAAAAGTGAAACTACAAAATCATTGACTCAGAATCTTTGAACTGAACTGGGATGAAGCTATTTGAATTACAAATGAATACACAGCATATTAATGTTGATGATGTGTCCTTTGGGAGCGACACATCTCCACACACTGAGGACGATTTGACCGGTGATGATTTACATTCTGCTAATAAAAGCTGCTTCTGGGCTTCCCCTCAGCTTCTGAACCAAATCCATCATCGGGGTGACGCTCACACTTTAGGACCAGCAGCCCCTCATGTTCCATTTATCATGGCTGACAGCCCCTCTCATGTATAAATAGCATCTGCAGGGAAGAAAGATGGATAATCTCTGTATATCCGGGACGGTCAAAGATTCCCTGTTAAGTCTGGATGTGTTCACAGCTACACACCTGGTGTGTGTCCTTCTCAGCTCTGCATCAAGGGCACAGAACTTCTGCAGCTACTGAGCAGTAAAATCAAATCAACTCTGACTAACAAACAAGGCTCATGACAGGTTTTCTGGTGTGCTTCCAGGATGAGGCTCCAGCTGTTTGCAATTAAGTTGGACACAGTTTCCAATCTTCATTATTATGCCTCCTTTAAAAGCTGAAAACAGCCACAAAAAATAACCTGAAGCACTGCCAGATGTCACACTTAAGAAAACCCAGGTGTGAGAGCTGCTAAGTGTAACCTGGGTTTTTAGTGACACATCGGTGGCATTCCCAGCAGCAACTGTACCACCAAACGATGTTTTGTAGCAAATCAACTGAGGCATTTCCAGTGGCGATAGAGCCCCCAGGAGCAAGTGTTCTTTAGCAAGACATCAGCAGCATTTCCAGCCATGAGTATGCCACCAAAAGCAAGTGTTTTTTAGCGAGACATCAGTGACTATGTCAGCAGCAACTGAGCCAACAAAAGTGTCGGTGGCACTTCCACTGTTAACTGTGCCATCAAAGTGGGCGTTATTGGTAGTGTTTTTAGCGGCAATTTTTCTAGCAAGACATCAGCGGCATTTCCAGCCATGATTATGCCACCAAAAGCAACTGTTTTTAGTGAGATATCAGTGACATTTCTAGCACTGATTGTGCCATCAAAAGTTGGGGTTATTAGCGAGACAACAGCAGCACTTCCACTGTTAATTGTGCCACTAAAAGTGTGAGTTTTCAGCAGCATTTTCAGTGGTAATTGTGCCACCAAAACCAAGTGTTTTTTTAGCTACACAGTGGCAGCATTTCTAGTCATGATTGTGACTCAAGAAGCGGCTTTTTTTTTAGCAAAATATTAGCATCATTTCCAGCAACGACTGTGCCAGTAGAAGTGTCTTCTTTATAGCGAGACATTGCTGTGTTTCATGTGGGAATATTGCCCCCTAAACCCAGACAGGCATTTTAAAACAAAATATCATCTTTTGCTAATCATAACTCGGTGGTTTTTGTGCCTAAACTTAACCACATGTTAACCACAGTGTTGTTTCAACATATCCGCTACATAATAATGTAAAACTGTTAAATAACCATGGTGTGCAGAAATGTACAATGCAAACATTTATGCTGCTGATTGGGTTTTTAATTGAGTAGCTGACAAACAAAAATTAGTGATGATCGTGCAATTAAAGTTATTTTTTAGGCAGAGAAATGTGGAAAAAAACTGCTTTGGTTCAATTGATGCAAAAGTTGCTGCAATCATTGTTTTGTCTGCGTAGCTCTACAACAGAAGTGACGAGTTCCTCACAATAAAAATTCAAGCTGACCACAGCTGCAGTTTTTAATAAAGAACTGGTTTCGTCCTTCTGAGTGTTTGATAGTCCAAAGACAGACCTGACTCACATTCAGTGTGTTGCTCTCCCTCTTCCTGTCTGCAGGTACATGGCCATTCTCTACCCTCTGAGGCCTCGTATGAAGCACCAGACGGCGTACTGCGTGATCCTGACGGTCTGGATCGTCCCCATCTTCATCTCCATCCCCTCGGCCTACATGGCCTCTGAGACCAAGTACCCACATGTGGAAGGTCGCACCCACAAGACCTTCTGTGCTCAGATCTGGCCCGTGGACCAGCAGATCTACTACCGCTCCTACTTTCTCCTCATCTTCGCTCTGGAGTTCATGGGCCCGGTGATCGTCATGGCCGTCTGCTACGTCCAGATCTCCAGGGAGCTGTGGTTTAAGAACGTTCCAGGTTTCCAGACGGAGCAGATCCGGAAGAGGCTTCAGAGGCGTCGGAGGACGGTGGTGGTGCTGATTTTGGTGCTAGTCGCCTACGTCCTGTGCTGGGCGCCATACTATGGCTTCGCCCTGCTGCGGGACTTTTACCCCACCCTCATATCCAGGGACAAGAACTCCCTGGTGGTCTTCTACATCATCGAGTGCATCGCCATGAGCAACGGGGTCATCAACACCTTCTGCTTCATGAGTGTCCGAAACAACACCAAGCGCCTGAAGAAGGCGGGCAAGTTCCCGCTGAGGCTGATGACCTTTGTGACCGCCAAGTCGGTGGATGAAGGGGAGGCACGCACCTCCTCTCTGCGAGTGACAGAGGATGCGGAGGGAGCTCGGTTGAAGTAGAGGTCAAACATCTGACAGCTCAAACAGCATGCTGGATCTCCTGCAGCTCAAACTTTCAGAACCACATCAACAAGGCACAAAATGGGAAATCTCAACCCGTATTATGGCAAGATGGCGGCTTTGTCAATGTGTGTAACGGACATAGTTCATCATTTGAAGCCGAAAACAGTGGAATCATATTTGTAGCTCTGTTTCTGAAAAGCTGGACAGTTTGTAGAAATGCTGGATGTAAACGTTGGTTCACCTCGAGCAGAGATGTTCTGATCGTGGGTAGATAATAAACAAAGGTTTGATGAAGAACATATCTGGAAGATACAGACTGCTGCTAGACAACAAGTAAAAATGTTTGTATTCCTTCCATAAGGTCTGGTGTCTTTCATGGAGACACAAGCACACCTGCTGTTTTTGTTCATGTTAGTGCAAAATGCAAAAGATACTGGTTGACGTGGAATATAAACCTGAGGGTGTGCTGAGTAATAAATACACTTTTCAGTAGGGCTGGGCGATCATACGATCTCAATTCGGGATCATGATAAAATTTTGATCAATCTCAATTATCAGCATGGGACGTTTTGAATCAATATCATAAGGCAAAAGTAAGCGCAACAACAGCATATCAGAGTCTGCCGGCTACTGTATGCCATGCAGGCAGGATACGCCCACTTCTCATTGTAAGCGTGGCTACAGTTGTGACGGGAGGTAAACAGAGAGAGAAGTTGGAAAAAGGAGAAAAAATGAGTGACTGAAGTCGAGGATGGCAAAAATAATGCAGAACGTGAAAGCGACATCACTATATTATCCGGAACCGAAGATATTGTTGAAAAAAAAGAGATAAAGCGACGTCAGTTGTGTGGAAGTGGTTTGGATAACGTTACCTCAAAAGTGATGAGGAGCAGATGAAGCTGGTCTGCAAAATATGCCGGCGGTTGGTACCAACCAGGTCGGGAAACACCACAAACCTTCCCAATCACCTGAGACGGCACCATCCCAGTGACCACACAGAGAGTCTAACTATGTGGCCTCAAGTTGCCCCGACTCCACACACACACAGCTTAGCAAGACCCCTTCATCTGCTGTTAGCGTCGCTAGCGGCAGCTTAGCAAAACAATAGTCTATCCAGTCGTGTTTGGCAGCCATTACCCCATATGAGAAGCATTCAAAGCGGTAAGTTTATATACAGTGTTTCCATAAGTTAAAGCTTTTATTTGACATTGCTTCTCGTTCTTTGAGTTTACATATGGCTAAAGGGGAAAAAAAAAACAACCGTAAACGGACAGCATGATTAGTGTTGCGTTCAAGGTCCCCCCCAAAAAAGGGAGTAAAAAATGGCCGAATATTCAATTTTTTTTCCTCAGTCGAATCCCGTGTCATCCAACGAAGCTTCGAAGCTTCGAATTTTTTGGGTCACCCCTAATGCCGCATTCATTTGGCAATCCAGGCTGGTCATTCCTTGTCGGATTTATATGACTGTATGACACGTCTGATCTGAAAGCGTTTCATTGCAACAGTCAGGAAAACATGGCAGCGCGCAATAAGTTTGTTTTTGTTTGCATGGTTGCTGAGCAACGGAGACTTTACTGGTTCAAAAGAATTTAGGCTACAACGGGCTTGCACAGACTTTTTTCCAACACAAATCAACAGTGGAAACAGAAATGCCATTGCAAAGTACTTGTATGATTTTTACAACACAAACGCTTAATTAAACAGCATATACGAGGACAAATTGAGGACAAATAACTTTGTTTACCATTCACAATGTGCGCAGCCATCTTCGTCGTGATGTCAATTCTACCAACTCGGTCTACGTGGACCTTGCCCGAGTTTGATGACGAGACCTCCGGGTAGAACGGGTGTTCTTTTGTACCTTTCCAGACCGGAAACCGTATCAATCCCGGTTCCGGCTACCAATAGAATGCAGCATAAATCCCACATGCAAGGGGCTAGCCATAAGGTTGTTGTTTTCAGCAAGTTGGCCTTGAATAGCTGATGTTGAGCTGTAGAGCTGTGTTACATGTTATGACCTGCCTTTGGTTTAATTTAATCTTTCAAGCTTTATTCCTTCTCATCTTATCTGAGTTCTGTTGTATGTTTGTGCTCCATAGATTTAATTGCAAACTACAGCTGTTTAGTAAGTTAAAGATGTGTTGCTGCTAATGACAGCCTGAAGTGGGGATGAGGTCTTAAGGTTTTTTTGGAAGGTCTTTAAAAAGTCTTAAAAAGGTATTGAAATTAACCTCAGGATTCCTGCATATACCCTGTAAAAACATTTTGTTCTCAATATTGGAAAAGCATATTATTTAGTGTTTTATGTTATTAAACTTTTATTGTTAAGTTTCAATGAATCTCTTGTTTCTTCATGCTCCAATCAGGATGCTCCCCGAACTGGCAGAATCAGCAAAAACTACATATCGTGATAAAAATTGAGATTGATCAATATGAAAAAATATATCGTGATAACATTTTTTGCCATATCGCCCAGCCCTACTTTTCAGCAATCGCATCACTGGTCTGATCGCTCTGGGGCAGGACTTTGTATTTCATCTGGTTTGCAGGACGCAGCGGTCACATTTTGGTGAGCTCTGTGACCGTGTCAGCCTGTTCTCTAAGTGCACATCCATACTTTATATCATATCCTGTGTGCACCTTTTAAGAATACAGAAAAAAACCCTGATGATTAAAATGAGAAGTTGGATTACGTGTCAAAGTGTGGAATAGTTGAATTTCTAAAGCTTGGAAAATTAGTAGTTAGTTAGTAAAATGTATTCAGTCAATCAGACCCAAACTGGCCGAGGCGCTCTGAGCATGCTCCACAGTTTCCGCCCTGGGCTTTGACCCAGAAGTCCAATAGCATTAAATGTGTAAGAGAAGAAGAAGCCGGTAACAACATGGAGAAATCTACATCCAGAGCCGTGACTTTTTGGACGCACCAAATGTACAGAGCTGTAAAGTTGTCCACCATGGTACCAGTTAGCAGCTAGCTAACCGTAGCTAACTTGTTTGTCCATTGTTTGGTCTGTGACGTAATAGGTCAACAGGAAAAAGGTCCAATACTAACAAGCTGAAAGGGGGCATATCTCCACCTATCGTAGAGGAGTCGCACATACTTGGCTCAATAAATGGATTCCCCTCCCGTGCTTGTATACTGGGACAAGGACAGTAGGCCAGTTAGATGTCCTCGTCCAGCTGGAACTGAAGCTCCACTTCACTGTGCAGTCCAGTTTTAGTCGGACTGACACAATAAATCCATTTTCTCTGATGTGAGGAAAACAACTGAGTGAGCGGTGTCTGCAGCTGTTGGAATTCATGAGCGCCCGTCTGTTTATCATGAATGAATGCAAAGCGTCAGCTGGAAGACTCACGATGCAACAAACAACCTGACGAGCAGCAGATCAGCTTCCTGTGGCAACTTTTAAACTCCGTCAACTGCACTGAAACTAAAGAGGTTCTTCTGCAAACAGGTTGACAAGACTTATTTTCAGGGGTGGAAAGTAACTAAGTACATTTACTCAAGTACTGTACTTATGTGCAGTTTTGAAGTACTGGCACTTATCATGAGCATTCCCATTTTCTGCTACTTTATTCTTCTACTCCATGACATGTCAGAGGGACATAGTGTACTTTATACTGCACTGCAATTATCTGACAGCTTTCGTTAATTTGCAGATTCAGATTATTGATACAAAATATAATCAGGAACTGAGTTATCCACAGAGGTCTCTTCCTCTCCAAAACAAACCAGGTCATTTAATCCAGTAAAAACTGAATAAAGCAGTTTAATGTTACATATCAGTGTTTCTCCGACCCTGTTTGGCACATCAGAGACTTGACACTAGCCCAGCTCCTGCTGCTGTGTGCTCACCTTCTTCTCTAATGACATAAGATCCAACATGGGTCAAACATGAAGCCTTTCAGTAACTGGAGCAATCTGTTATCTGTTGGGTCAGACAGGATTCAGGTATTCTGGCTCAGAGATTTCATAGATTAATAAGTAAAAAAATACTCGAAGTCATTTGTCTGCATGAACCAGTCCAGTGTCTCTGACAGTCTCCATCCATGTCAGTGAAAACATGGATGCTTCACACACAGAAGATCTATACAATCAGCACAGTTTCAAGATTAGAGTCACCAATTCAGTATCTGACCAAATGTCTCCCCTTTTCATGAGGGTGCTCTTGTGACAGCCTGTTTACGTGAATGAGACAGATGCAAGGTTACAGTGACCTTGACCTTTGACCTCCAAATTCTAATATGTTCGTCCTTGACTCAAACTGGACATTTTTGCCAAATATGAAGAAATTCTCTCGCGGCTTTCTTGAAGATATCGTGTTCATAAGAATGGAACAGACAGACAACTTGAAAACATAAAGACTTCGGCCAAAGCTATCACCAGCACGGAGACACATTGGATAAATGCAGCTGGCTGATTGACAAACATCACTCAGTACCCTTACGTACACAGTGAAGTGGAGCTACAGTCCCAGCTGGACGAGGACATCTAACTGGCCTACTGTCCTTGTCCCAGTATACAAGCACGGGAGGGGAATCCATTTATTGAGCCAAGTATGTGCGACTCCTCTACGATAGGTGGAGATATGCCCCCTTTCAGCTTGTTAGTATTGGACCTTTTTCCTGTTGACCTATTACGTCACAGACCAAACAATCGCCATTCCATGTTTTCCTCTCTCCATGTATTTTAAAATATTTAACTCTTTGAGTTGAAACAACATGAACTGTGTCTCCTCGTCCGTCCAAAACCGCACGGCTCTGGATGTAGATTTCTCCATGTTGTTACCTTCTTCTGTCACGCAATTAATGCTATTGGACTTCTGGGTCGGAAACTGTGGAGCATGCTCAGAGCGCCTCAGACAGTTTGGGTCTGATTGACTGTATACATGCAGGAGTCACATGATCTGGGTGTGTTAGTCCCACTTTGAGAAATTCAATTTAGTACAATTTCAATCAGACTAACATGTTTACATGTTATTTTAACAGTCTGGTTTTAGGCCCTGATCACACAGTAAGGCACGCCCAACTGCCTTTTTAAAAAAATGTGATGCTTTTAATTGTTGCCAGGCAACCATGGACTCACCTCCTTACTCTAATCTTTTCGTGTAATCAATCTACTGTTTATTTATAGTATGTATCCTGCAGTAATCAGTGTGTAGCTGCTGCCATGTTGAGGCAGAGGGTACTGTCTGTAGCTCTGGTTGAGGGTGAGAGGCTGTCAGCAGATAAACAGAGATCTGTGTGGGTACATGAGACCCTAAAAAAGAGGCTGGATCATGGGGAGCACCACCAGTTGGTCCAGGAGCTTCTCCTCCATCATGGACGTTTACAGGCAGATTTTAAGATGACTCAGGGGCAGTTTGACAACCTGCTGTCTATCATCAGGCCGTACAGCTCTAGGTATCCAGCAACCACTACCACCAGTTTCTCCTCCATCGTTTACCAACTGTAAACTTGTCGTCGTGACCACCACAGAAGGCCCGCCTCTCAAATCATCCCATTGGAAAATTGGGAAAAAAGAGATGACGTAGGGCACGTTTCTGCTCTGAGTTAAAGTTTTTTCAACTCAAGGAGTTTAGAGCTCTCCGGAAAACACACCAGGCACGCTGCAACACAGAAACAGTGAGCAAAAAGCTTCATTCTCATTAAAAACAATGACTAAAAGTCTCCTCCAGCTGCTGAAATGCTTTCTGTGTGATCAGGGCCTTCAGTCCGGCTAACACAATAAAATGATGTTCTCTGATGTCATGTAAACGTACTGACTGTGTTTGCCCTTTGATGTGAAAGGTAAAATTTTACTATTTTTCACTTAAATTATTGTCTTAAATTAATTAACTAATAACGTCATATTAGTGCCACAAGCGTCTCCCTCCACACAGCGTCATTATCCATCACTGTGTATGTTCTGATCCAGGCGTTGCTCCAGATGCAGAGTAACATTTGTGAATCACGCAGGAGGACTGTGCAGCCTTAGCAGACATGTGTCATTTTTTAAATTAAAAACATCTTGAAACGTGAGTGAACCACGTGAGAGTGCGACTCTCAGGGTTGAGAAACTGACGTGCTCAGAAAGAGTCAGCCGCAGCTCCAGGAAGACGTGTCTCTCAGTGTGAAGGTGACCTTGCACATTATGAGCACTCTGTCAGGGATGTTGAGGGTAATGTGATTAAGATGTCAGGTGTGTGTACACAGATCAAGTGTTTGCACAGGACCTGGAATTAAGATTAGCCGGCAGAGCTTTAGCTTATTACCTTTTCAAATAAAGACAGAGAAGAGTCAGTCAGCCTCTGAGGCTGTTTGTCCAACGCTTGTCTTCATCTCCACTTGTTGTGTGTCATATCATCTTGTTCACGATAATACTGGTATAATTTTTAATATGAAATGAAACATTCATATGATACTGATGCCATACTGTTACCCACGGCAACAACAAGCATGACTGAAGCGAAATTATTAGCGACTCTGTGGTTCCAAAAAGAGGAGCAGCTTCAGTAGTGTGGAATAAAGTGTGGCGTCCTGAATGTTTTACTTATCTTAGCGCTCAGAGGGAACTCATTCAGCGGCTCCTCTGGCAGCAGCACAGCATCTCTCCCTCTCCTCTCTCTCTTCATGAGATTTAGTCAGAAACCTTTGGTGATGTAAACCTACGTGAACAAACTCCACATATGTGACAGTGTGATAGTTGTGGTATCATAACAGCCTGTCACAGGTTACAGCGTGATGATCAAAGGAGAAATGGCAGAGCATAAAGGTCCAGGTGGAAAAAACACAACTCAATCGTTTAGGATTTTACTAAAAGAAGGAAATCAGCTGTTGATTTATATATATAGATCCCAGGGGACATTTGTTTAAATGTGTAATTAGTGGTAGATTTGATTTAGTTGAACTATTAATATTGTGACAGGATCTGAATCTGACTCTGAGTTACTGTTGTTGTTCACAAACTGAAGAAATGAAACATCATTTTAGTTTTTACTGAAGATTTGAAGCAGACTGTGAAACTACATCACTGATTCTGTTGCAATTTTATGTTCTTAAATTAGTAATAAAATATTTTTTTAACAACTTGTCATATCGTCAAGAATATCGTTATTGCAAAAATACCCTGAAATATTGTTATGTTATTTTAGGGCCATATCCCACGCCCCTTATCTCCACCAGCTGTCTTTAAATGAAGCAGGTGATCCAACTGCTGCCACAAGACTGACACTTTAGAAACAGGAACTCTTCTGACATCAACAGTTACCTCACAGAGACCATGTTTAGTTCAAGTCCTACAGATACAGATCATTTTATCCACACTAATGATGTCAGTAAATTCACTCCATCACTGTTCCAGACTGAAATATCTCAACTGATGTGGAAACACATTACGGCCATTGAGATGGTAAAATGAGAAACTTTCTAAAAACTAAAAAAGTGCAGTGCAGATCTCCACAACACTGAGGAGCTGCCCGGGCCAGTCACAGCCTCCTGAACAATTTTTGTAATTCCAGGAGACGCCCCAGAGCTCATTTCAAGAAATACCCCAGAAATACACGCCTCGTCTATTTGTGATGGAGCCACGGTACACACGAGACCAAACCAGGCCCTCAGGAACGCTGCTCGGGTTTGTCCCCAATTTTTCCCCAGTGCCCCCCTCACAGCATTGCAGTGAAAAAAATTCCCTGCGGCTCAAAAAGCATTTTCCCCATAGACCACCATTATAAAAGAGACGTCTGTAGAACTGTTGACAGGACACCTCCAACTGCAAACAAGCTCAATTATGACTCTTTCTACTCAGAGTGTCTGAGCCATGGAGGTTTTATATTCGTAAAAAGTGTCATCACAATGTAAATGATGAAACAAGCGGGAACACAACTGCTCACATTTTACTTATACGAATAAAGATTATGATGTATGGAGATTAGATTTATAGAAAATATAATTCATCAGGAGGTAAATGAAGAGATACATTTGAAATGTCGTGGGTTTTTTTTTTGTAAAATGCTTTGAAAAATGTTCAGTTTGGTGGGTGGCTTGTCAAAACATTTGATGAGTGTGAGACAGGTTTGTGTTTCACAACAGAAAGATGAAATCACAATAGAGGACAGACTTTGTTTCCATTGGATGTATTTAAACAACATAAGAAAAACAGTCAGAACAAATCAGAGGAACAACTGTAACAAATCTGCTCCTGAATTCCTCAGTTACACATATTTACATGAGCAGAATCGATCCTGAACAGACACAGGTGGAGCTTCATCTGAAACAAAATCTGAATGAAAAAAATCTTATAAAATATGACTGAGAATGATCTGTTCAGAGACACTGTCGGTGTTCTCAGGTTTGTCAACTCCTTTGTGTGCCTTCTGCAAACAGCCGCTGCAGCTGATGTCGTGGGAACATTTCTTAATCTGAATTTGCATTTCAAGCTGACTGAGGCATGCCTCTCATACAAAAACACATTTTCCCTAATCAGCCTAAGTTACTGCGGTCCACTGTAGTGTTTAACGTTGCCATGACGACACCTGCGAAGACACCTGACAGCTTTTACACGTTGTCAGCTGCAAGCACAAAGAAAATGAACTCAGAATTCTTTGAATGTGACGTAAGCAGACGGACGAGAGGCGACAGAGCTGAGAGCTCAACGTGCTGCTTGTGTTTCACTGTCAGGTCTCAGGTCAGGTTTATTGTACGTGTGCTGACACAGATCTGTTGATTTAAAAAAAGGGCCACGGTGCTGAAAAGGTTGGGAGCTAGAGTCTCTTGAGAAGCTCCCATTTACGGCTTTCAATGCTCCAAAAGTTCTGTTGAAAATACGAACACACCTGAGGGAAGCTCGACGACAGTTCAGTAGTTTTTACACCAACAGCTCGTACTGATGGAGTGTGGAGATTCATTCATTCGTTTTCCATAACTGCTGATCCTGTTAGGGGCCGCGGGGGGTGGAGCCTATCCCAGCTGACATTGGGTGAGAGGCGGGGTTCACTCTGGACAGGTCACCAGACTATCACAGGGCGGACACATAGAGACAGACAACCATTCACACTCACATTGACCGGCTTGAGTCTGACAGTGTCACCTGCAACTCAGCTGGTCAAATTGCCGATGGCTAGTTTTAGCATGTAAAGGATGTCACCTGTTTCTACAGTCAATCCGCTTGTAGTAAATCCTGCTGGACCTACACTACAATATATTGGAATATTTTCACCGCTTCACCTTTCTGATGGGGAACTCAGCATCTAACTGCTCCCTTCAAAGCTCCATTGACAAAACCAGTAATTTTAACCCACTGAACACGGGAGCTGCTCGTCCACCACCTCCTCGATTGGATCATTCTTATTTTTGTGTGATTTTGGTGAATCCAAACTAACCCTTTTAAACATTAAAGTCAGACAATCACACAAACAAACTTACCATCTGAGGCAACAGCTCTTGTATTCTGCAAGGTAAAATGACTGGTTTGTCGAAGGCTGTCTGACACCAAGCTTAAGTTGTGAAAACATTCTCACTATAGCACACATTTAAAATGATAGCGATTTTTTTTTGGTGGCTAAAATACCTTTTGCTGCTGCCCCCGTCCACAGCAGTACATTGCTTCGCTTCTGTGGACAGCTTCCGGTCAGTTTGGACCTGTAAAGACTGTCCACTGGACACTGAGTATGAAAACATGATTGTAGTATGATAAGCAGCCCGGCAGGGTTCAATGAAATCTGATCCAAACAACATCCTCCATGTGTTTGGACTCTTTCCACCTGCACAGGAATGTGCCAAGGCCTCAGCTGCTGCAGCTGATGTAGGCTAATTAAAACTAGTTTGTCTCTGTTTGGTGCAGCTTTAAAACAGACAACAAAAAGAAGAAGAGAAAGGAGGTCTGTATCTACTTCCTCCTCTTCACAAAGGCCTTCGCTTCCTTCTGTAGTCCTTTGATGTCCTCCTTACCGCTGTCGTCTGAGCCAGGAGGGACGTAGTCTGAGTCATCGCCCAAATCCTCGCTGTCATCATTAATGAAGCTGTCGTCGTCCCCAAAGTCCTCGTCTTCATCTTCATCATCAGCAGGCGTCTTTTTGGGGGCGGTTCGTGTAGTGCGAGCTGTAAAAGTGTCAGCAGTGTGAACATGAAGTTATAATGCAGAGTGAGCCACAGAGGGAGACAATACAAAAAGGCTTGAAGTGCTACATGAGCACCGTGGAGAGTTTTGTTTCATGTTGAGTGCATTTTGAAATCAGCTGTCTTTGATTGACTGGTTTCTAAGCACATTTCCTTATGACCTACAGCACCAGTGGCTCCACCAAGGGGGGACATGGGCACTCATCTTTAAGCTAGTGCAAAGTTAGTGGTATCTTGTGAAACTAGAAAACCTGAGGCTACGTCCGTACCAACATTGTCGGCACAGCTTGAGAGGAAGCGTGCTAAATAACGCTGCAAACTTAGGCTAAATGTTGGCGAGGGAACAACTGACGTGGCCCACGAGTCTCTCCTAGACTTGAGAAGGCTTCTTCCCAGTGAATATTTTGTTCCTTAAAATCAATGTACTTCAAATTGAGCTGTATATTTAAGGACAACCAGGTTAATTGAAAACCAGTGAATCGCCTAACAGTACAGACACATAACACATTAAAGCAGGATTGTTGTGCAACTCAAAATGTTAACCGAGCCGCCAATAGTCTAGATCATAGACTGTATGTAAAGATGGACGATGTGAAAATATCTCGGATACGGCTGCTGCCATCTTGCTCTGGTGACATCATTTGGAGCCAGAGTCTGTGCAGTAGTGATCTCTGCTGTATCACGTTTCCATCCCATACACCCGTCCGACCAATCGCGAACTGATTGGCTCACACAGCTGTCAATCAAATTGTAAAATCCCCATTTTATAGCATTTAATAACCGATTAAAACCAAACTTACCAGAAAAACGAACACTTGTACAAACAGCAGTGTCATAAAAAGTACTTTAAATGACAGAAACCATCTTTGGGAAAAATTTATTTGATGTGCACTTTGAGTGTGTAGTTTGGCTCATGTTCCATCCACTTACAAGGAGGGGGTGGAGTTTATGATCTATAGTGCAGCCAGCCACCAGGGGGAGATGTTTCAGCTTCACTTCTGGGGAGCTGACATGTCGTCCATCTTTATATACAGTCTCTGGGCTATTTATCTTTTTATGAACTTTAATTTTCAAGATACACTGAGAGCAGAGACACATCTGAACAGATCCAGATGGAGCACTGAAAAACTAAAGACAGTACCAAACAGAAAAGGATAACAAAAGTAAAACAAATGTAAGGTAAATTAAAATAAAAATAAAGTGGATGTGACACAAAGTTCACATTAGAATTCTGAAGATACAGTATATTTATGGTTTTGGTAGCTGCTTTGTTTTGTGAGGAAGAAAGTGTTGACAAGTATTGGTTCATCTCCTGGTGAGAAGTAAAAATAGGTTATTACTGTTACTATTAAAAATACTGCAGTTTGAAAAATACTCATGAGCGAATTCCGGAGATTCAGTAATGGCTTTTGGCTTTGGTGTGCCATCCAAAGATACCAGTGTCCTCACTGGGCCACCGACATGAAAAATATCTGCACAGAAATCTGACACATGCGTGACTGTCGGTCTTTATGTGTGTTTTGATGCCGATCAAACAAATAAATTTTTCTTTCGGCCCCCCACAGGTTAAACAACAGCAGTGTTTTCAGAGCCATCAGTGTGGAAAAAAATAAACAGAGCCATTATTACTCCGTCTTTCTTCTTCCTGTCAGTGTGGTCGCGGTGGAAATGCGTCACAGCGTCTTAAATCAGGAGACGACTGTCGAGGGAGTCGAGCGACCTGAGTGTAAATTGAGCGTTTAAACTAAATGTCAGCCGAGGCATCAAACTGCTGCTGCTGCTGAGGAAAAACACGTTTCTCATCTGTGTGGAGAGGTTTCTTATTAAATGTTGGAGGGTGTGTGTGTGTGTGTGTGTGCGTGTGTGTGTGTGGATGGGTCAGAAGGTCATTTCCACTCCAGCAGGGGGGCTGATGTCCTGAAGGGCTGCAAGATTAAATTACACGACCTACTAACGAAAAAAAAAATCAATGGGCCTCAATGGGTTTATAGATCCTGAGCAGCTCTGGTGACAGGTGGTGTGTGTGTGTGTGTGTGTGTGTGTGTGTGTTTCTGTTGCTAAACCCTTTCAGAAGAGGAAATTCCTTTTAGTTTTGCTTTTCCAACATTTTATGTGACGCTGCGTTTTAAGGACCAAACAGCCCTGTAAATCTTCCAAATACTGTTTGTGATTACAACTTAGATTACAACCATTTTCCAGACAACTTTTTTCCCCTCCTAGCGTTTCCAAGTGGTTTTATTGTTGGCACCAAAGTTGCAAAGACAACTGGATCACTTTCTGTTTTCCTCGGAGCTGAGCAACTACCAGCAACACAGGACACACTGCATTTTATTTTCTCAAAGTTACTTCAGTTGTTCCACTGTTTACACCTGATACTCTGGTACCCATAGATGTATTATGTAAATATGGATGTCACTAACTCGGCTTCTTCTCCGGAGCCTTTGTGCTCCACTGTCTCTCAGATTAACTCATATCACAGCGGTGCCTGGACAGCGTGACGTGTGTGGTTGTGCTGCTGCCGTGGTCCTGCCAGATGCCTCCTGCTGCTGCTGCTGCCATCATTAGTCATTAGTCATACTTCTACTGTTATTATACACATATGACTATTGTCACACATGTATACTGCCAGATATTAATATATACTTTCAACATATTGTACCACAGTAGCCAGAACTATAACTATAATATTATTAATTTCATTAATGTTGTTGTAAGCTATTACCGTTACCGTGGTTTCAGCTTACAAAGACAGACAGGAGCTCTGCGTCGCCGCAACGTATAGTTAGATTTCTGGGAAGGTGCACGTCAGGCTACGTCGTAGGTACGGCGTCGATTAGACACAAAAACATCGGAAAGTAGAGTCCAGGCTGGAAAATACCAAATCTTGCCCTTTATGGCCCTTTATTAATCCATCTGGTGGTGTATTCATGTCCTGAAGTGAAGGTCTGACAAATGACTGCACTATGACTCTATAATGTTTGGTTATTACAATTTGTATAGCAGATGATGAAACAAAATGTATTTTCCTTCATAATGCTAACACTGAAAACTAAAGAAATTACAAGAAAAATGAGCCTGTCATTAAATTATGAAAAAATAATATGTTAAATAACTAAGCCATTTTAAAAGGCTTTATTTAATTTGCATAATGGACCCAAGTTAATGACTTTTTCCTGCGTTTTAATGAGGCTTTGATCCCCTGACAGTAATTAAATACATTTCATTAAAATTATTGTATTTGTCGAGAACAGAGTCATTTCTTTGTTTAAAAAGCAATTTTTTAAAAATGCATTTCATACCGACTCTGTTTACTGTGTTCTTTTACAGATCTCACTGTTCATTAGAGTCAACATTAAGATATCGTCAAACAGAAAACAAGAAGCTTAAACATCCTACCTGGTTTCTTTGTGTGTTTGTATTCTTTCCTGTGAAGAGGGTTTTTCCTGTGAGGGAACAAAAAGTTAAAGTTACAGTCAAATTATGTCAATAAACAAAGATTAATGTCACTTTCAGTCCGACACAGTGACGCAGGTAAAGAAGCACTGTGACAATATTGATTACTGTTTTTCAGTCAGTAAATAAAAACAACATGAAAGACAGACGCATGTTTTTTGGGTATTTTTAAGCCTTTCTTACAGACAGCAGAGAGGTGACAGGGTTGGTGCTTTCGTCCCTCAGCTACAGGGACACTCCCACTAATTACTGCTTTAATGCAAAGTCTTATTCAACCACCTGTGTTGTGTGTGTGTGTGTGTCTTTGTGTTGGACGTCCTGACAGGTAAAACATATCCTCTGATACCAACATAGCTGCACTAATACAGAGCATCTTAACATCATGTCATGTCTGCCATTAGTGTTTGCTTCATAAGGCCACCAGGTTTCCCATCGCTCCCTTTCATGTGACTGCGCTGTGATGTCTGACCTGTAGCAGTCAGTGCCGTAGGGGCACTCGGGTCGGTCTGCCTCCTTGGTCTCCTCCTGCTCCTCCTCCTCCTCCTCATAGTCAGTGTCACCGGGGTGACTGCACTCCTGGAAATGGAGCGGGTTCTTCCTGGAAAAACAAAGAAGGAGGTGAGGGATCTTCAGAAACACGCCGCTGCGCCCTCGTTACAGTGTGTACATTTCATTGAAAGGAGCCAACAGTGGAGGTCCACAGGAGCCAGACTGGGGCTGGCTGTTCTTTTAAAGATGCAGTGAAGGCATAAAATCAATCAAGCAAATAATCAGAGCATCCGTCGTATGCAAATGCACTTTAACTAAAACTTAATGATTTATGATTAAAAACAGACTCACGCACAGACGAGTAGCACGCCTGGGCACAAGTGTGTATTCCTGCTAAAACGTTGTGCTCAGGAACGCTCAGGACACGCTACTCATTGACTCAAGAGTGTTTTATAGTGTAATGTTTTAGTGAAATGAAAAGTGTTTGTTAAGTTTTATGGCTACTGGGAGAAGTTTGCCTTCAGGGCTTAAAGCCAGATAGCCCTAAAGTTTAAGGAAGAAGATGATGGTTAGGGTTACAATGAAAGCACTTCCTCCAGAGAGAAAGAGTGCTGTTTAATGTGTGTTGGTGCTGTCAAATTAATGTAACCTTTACTGCACTTAACGGGTTACAATTCCTTATAAGTTTTAAGTGCTGTTTTTATCTCTTATGTCCAAGAGCGAAAGAGAAAGGAGTGGCAGCTTTTTCTGTAACTGGCTGTGTTTCGTAAGCACACAATATCGTCTCATATCGATCGCAGGCTCCTGAATTGCATCGAATCATAACTGTATCATGGAGGACTTTGTGATATCAGCAAATATCCTACTGCTATCAAAAGAACCGATATAATATTGTATTGTGATGAAACTAGTGATTATACCCCTACCGCACGCACAGTGACAGGGCCAACTGTTAGCATCACACGGCTAACGCTACCTAACGGAGTAACGACAGAGTCGCGCCGTTTCGGTGTTGGTATAAGTTTGCTGGCACTGTTTAACAGTTCACTGTTGGATGTTAGCTGCTGCTGCTGCTGCTGTGTTGTTAATTTCGGGACTGGGGGTTATTTAGCTTGGGAGAGCTTAGAGTTCTCTTTGTATCAATGGTGAGGAGAGGAGTCAAGCTGTTGTAGGAGCAGAGAAAAAGCTGCTACGGGAGCTGGTATGTACAAGCAGAAAGCAAGTGCAGAAATAGGACAGTGGCGTGAAGTGCTGCGGGGCTGCACTTCCAGGAGCCACCACCACGCATCTAGCCACAATTGGTGTGGGGTTGTACACTGAAAATGATAGGGGCGTATTTTTCGACGAGTGCCATTTGCCACCACTGTGTTTTGGCCTTAACGTGTCCAACACTTGGTGAACAACAGGTGGAACTGGTTGAGGAATATTTAGGATTGCACTAAACATGCAAACGTGTTATCAATTAACACAGAGCAAAGTCCGCAGTCGGGGTAAAGTCTGCTTTCAGTGTCAGCGCTGGTGTAGAAGCACAGACTTATTGGTTGGACATTCATGCACACAGGAAAAGGCGAGGAAACATGCCAGTAAGCCGAAGTCTGTTCGGAATGGAGAGCCTTGCAGCCGTGACTCTGTGTGAGCGCTCATCCGCATCTGAAGATTGCTCGGGTGTGCACATGCTCACCACCACCAGAGAGGTCCACCTCACCAGTCTTGGACTATATTACATGAAAGAACAAATGAAACTTTTCTCTCGCAGATGGATATATGTCCAGGGAAAGGTTTCCTGTTCACAGCCATGACTTCTTCTCTGTTTACTGGAGGATTGCAGCCATGTGTAAAGGGAAACCTATTCCTCCAACTTTGTGTAGCCAAGTTTATTCACTACAAACCAGCTAATGGAAACGTCCCTAATTCACATTTCTTTTTTGCAACGTTTCAAAAATTCGCTTGACTTTAAACACAACTCCTGTAAATGAGGCTCTAAAGTTTCTAAGTGTTCACTCTCAGCCCACAGAGACGATCCCCACCAGTTTGGGAGATAAATCAGTGTGGCTGCTCTTCTCTGCTGCAGCCCTACTTTGTGATTTAGGTTTGAAAGAAAATCTTATAACATTCATGTTCAGCTTTATTGGCTTTGACATAATCCCTTATCTTAAATTCAAGAAGGAACATCTCTTGCGGCTAAAGGCAGAGACACGAGGCGGCTGCTTTGAGAAGCTTTTGGACCTGATTCAGTTTTGGCTCGCTTCATGTTTATCAGCTCAAGTGCACTTTATCTCATCTGTGTTGGAAACCGAGCCACATCAAAGAGAAAGCCCCCTGGCAGGACACGAAATAAATTCACCCTTTAACTTTTTTCTTTTTTTTTTATCTCTGAAGAAGCTCAGCTGATGTGTTTGTGCACAGGTAGACGTACCTGTAGCAGTCCTTCCCGTATGGACACGGCGTTCTGAGTTGAGGTTTAGACGCAGAGCTGCTGACGGACTGTGCTTGTTTAGTCTGCTGTCGTCCATTTCTCGTGGTGTTAAGGTCAGCTGTAGCTGTCTCCCCTCCTGTTCCCTCCTCGTCCACGTCCACGGTGAAGCCGTCAGACTCGTCGCTCACCTCAGGCCTCTTGGATTCCCTCTGCCGCTGGACGGAGGGCCGCTGTGAAGGAACGTCCTGAGAGTCAACAACAGAGACACAAAGGGGTTCATTAGTCTGTAAAGACGACATAGAGACATTTTGTGGACACTTAGTGAAAGTGTGATTTTACAGGTTGGATGGACAGAAGGCCTTATTTGGACCAAAAATGATTATTATAGAAAGACCTGTGTTAAGAGCCACCGACTACTCGCTAACAACTGCACTCAACTGTTTTAGACTGAGCTGCTTCTTCTTCTTCTTCATCATCACTGATCTTCCTTCTCCTCTTCTTCGGCATCTCCTCCTCACTGAGCTCTGCCCCCTCAGATGAGGAGGTCTTGGTGGGCGTGGCCTTTTTGGCTGCCGCTCCTTTAGTGCTGGTCGACGCTGCAGCTCCTCTACTTCTCTTCGCAGCTGTCTGAACTACAACAGAGAGAAGCATCATTTTCAGAGGATCATACAGCAACTAGAGCCCGACAGATACTAAACTACAATTACCGCCCTGTGGTTGTATGACTCCGCCCACCAGTCCAGTGTCTCTGACAGTCTCCATCCATGTCAGTGAAAACATGGATGCTTCACACACAGAAGATCTATACAATCAGCACAGTTTCAAGATTAGAGTCACCAATTCAGTATCTGACCAAATGCCTCCCCTTCTGTTCCTGAGATATGACGCTGAGTAATGGACAGGAAGGTGTTTTTATCCTGTGAGACATTTGTGTGAAGTTTTGTCATAATTAGCATAGGAATTCTTGAGTTATGGCCAAAACCATGTTTTGTGAGGTCACACTGACCTTCAACCACAAAATACTTGTAAGTTAATTCTTTGGTCCAAGTGGTCGTTTGTGTCGCATTCAAAGAAATTCCCTTAAGGTGTTCTTGAGGTATCATGTTCAGGAGAACAAGACAGATGCAAGGTCACAGTGACCTTGACCTTTGGGACGTACAAATGGACGGACAACCCATAAACATAATGCCGGAGTGCGGAGGCTTAAAAGTGTCAAGTTTCATTGTGCAAAATCTGTTAAAAATTAATAATAGTTTGCATTGTTTGCATGATTCGAAATTTAAATGTTCAATTCTCAGAACTGTTGGGTTTTTAATCTGACAGCTGCTTAATATTTCATTTAATACAACTTGCAGGAGGGGGAAGTATTTAGATTTTTTTACTCAGTGACAGTACCAGTACAACAAAGTAAATATACTCCATTACATGTCAAAGTCCTGCATTAGAAGTACAGAATTATCACCAGCAAAATTATTTCAAGTGTTAAAATGTCTCCTGTGACTGATCTGTGATACTGTGAGACACTGTCAGAGAGTTAATACTGATGCATCAGTGTGAGAGCAGCCTGTTACTGTTGAAGCTGCTGCAGGTGGAGCCAGTTTGAACTCTTATATATACAGTTAGTTTAGACCAGTGGTTCCCAACATGGGGGTTGGGCCCCTCCAAAGGGCCATAAGATAAATCTGAGGGGTCGTCAAATGATTAATGGGAGAGAGTAAGAGGAAACTAAATTCTGATACACTCATTTTGGGGATGTACTGACTTATTGGCTGAACATTGGTATCAGTGATAACTGATGGCAGTGACTGATATTTGTCTGTTGTGTCACATCATTTTTGGGCAGACTAAAAAGCAGAACTCAACACCAATGGCGTCTCGTCGTCCTGGGGACAACAGAAAATGTGTTGGGGATGTGCAGAAATCTTCACCAGGACGCCGTCGGGATGAAAGGACGCAATAAACTCACTATAGACACGTCAGAGGACGCACCGTAATGTTTCCCTGATAAAGTTACAAACTGAGAGCTCACAGAGGCTGCTTTGAGTTACATTATGATGCGTTCAATATCTCTTCAGTAAAAATGAGTAAGGTAAATTATAACATCTTCATGATGTGTTCAAGGTAATCTTGTAAAATGTAGTTTTTGGTGAGAAACTTGAATAAAAACAGCTGTTTGAAGGAAACATTTTTATGATGTTTTCACAGAAATATAAAACTACGACTGAGTATTAGGGCCACAATGAAGGAAAAAAAATTCTGAGATTTTGAGAATAAAGTCGTAATATTAGGACTTTATTCTCGTAATATTACAAGAAAAAACTCGTAATATTACGAGAACAAAGTCGTAACTGCGAAAAGGATGTAATATTACAAGAATAAAGTCGGAATTTTTAAGGAAATAACCAACAACAAGCAGAACGGGTTAGAGGATGAACCTGCTTGTGGCAGCTGCTCTTTGTCTCAGGTGCAGTGCCTTGAAACACACATATATTACGAGTTTTTTCTCGAAATGTTACGACTTTATTCTCGAAATCTCCGATTTTTTTTTCTTCAATATGGCCCTAATACCCCATCGTAAATTAGAGAGGGAGTTATGATTTATTTTATATAGTGAAAAGACTTTTGAAGCGGTTGCTTTTTTTATTTTAATCAACAGTTACATTATTTTCTTCACGTGAAAGAACGTTATAAAAATGTGTATGATTGAATTTGTGCTCATTCAAATGCAGTGTGGTGAATGACTTTAAAACAGTTCAGTTTTTTTGTAAAGTAGATTTCCTTTGCACAAAAGGGGGAATAAATAAATAAAAACAAAAATAATGACAGTTTAAAAACAGGTACAGACAGTATCTTCATAAATTACAGAAATGATTTCATGCACACTCAGAGTGAGACTGTTGTCAGTATTCTTAGTTCATAATTTCGTATATGTCTTATACACGGGGTAAAATTGGTTGTCAGGTATTAAGAAGTGCAGTGGTGTAGATGTGTGGTTGATTGATCGTGAGGAGAGAGTATTTATGTAATAGTCTGCTTAGTGATGGATTAGTAAGACTAGACAAGCCTGTTGCTTCCCTCTCCTTTCAGACATGAAATGTGAATTTATATTTCTCATTGTAACTCTGTTTATGATTTCTCATTTGTCTCTGTTTTGTAAGTTTTTTCTACAATATATTCTATCCTATTCAAAAAACATTGGTATCAACTATCGGTCAAATTCTTATTTTAAACATTGGTATCTTCCCAGAATTTCACAGTCGGTGCATCCCTGACAAATTTATATTTGTTTTATCAGACTTTTACAAATCTGCAAAGTAACTACAGCTGTCAGATAAATGTCGTTCAGTAAAACTGTAAAATACTTAAGATGCGTACAACTACCTCAAACCTGTAGTTGACTACAGTCAAAGCCATGATATAAACACGTCAGTGAAAAAGTCTCACTGAATAAAAGCAGAGTGATGTTTCTGAACGACAGCAAGAGCTTTACGGGTTTCTCTTTAGGGAACTGGAACTTTTCCATCAGCCCACTCTGCCCAGTTTGCTTCAGCTGTTTAAGGGCAGCAGAGTGGATGGACGCAGTAATGGAGGCAGTGATGAAGTTACAGAGGGTCCATCCAGCAGAGCAGAGCCGTCTGCTTTCCTTCACAGTAAATATTACAGCAGCAGACACTCAAACGGCAGCACTCAGGGGAAACACAGTGACACACACACACACACACACACACACACACACACACGAAGGCTTCTTTTATCTCCTATAATTATCAGAGAACATCCTGATGCACAGAGAAAGGATAACCGCTGTGTTACACTTTTACTTATTCTCTTGTTGACGTCCCTTCATCCATTATCACAGCAGTCCGCCTGCTTAACACTCTCACACTGTGTGTCGGGTTCAGCTGCTATTTAAGGTCAACAAATGCCTGCAGTGTGTTAGTGGCGTCCCGTCAGCAGCACCTGGACAACATCAGCTGAAAACATTCCTCCACCAGACACGGAACGATGTTCTAACACTGCTTGGATGGAGGCGGATTGAATATGTGGCGGCATGTCGTTGCTGGGTGTCATGTTTCCGTCACTGCTGATCAGAGCTGGAGCTGATAAATACCTGTGATGACTGCAGAGTCATTTGTCCAACATTTCCCACTAAATACAAAACCCAAATGTTCATGTTTTCTTGTCTGGTGGGAAAGATGACTTCAGACATTGAGGAATTTAAAAAAGGGGAACTTTTAAGAATTTTTTAGGACCTTGAGGAACCGGTACATGTATTGTGATGTAACGACAGATCCATTCACAGATCTGGACAGTTCAGGTTTAAGTTTGCCAGTGTGGACGGACACATGAAAATAAAACACAATAAACCCATGAATCATGAGCACGGTACCTTTGAGACTGGGGGAGGAGGACAGACTCTGTGCAGCTGCTGCAGCTGCCATCATCCACGCAGGTAAAACTCTTTTCTTGGTTACAGGCGGAGTGACATCTCTCTGGTCGTTGTCGTTGTCGTCGTCTCCTTCTTTTGGTTGTGCAGAGTCTCCCTTCATGAAAACAGAGAGCAGTTCTCAATAATGTCCGGTGGGTTTATCATCAGAGCTGCTGAAAACTGTGACGCTGATCAACTTAAATTACTGATCTGATATGAAGGAAAGTTTAACTGACAGAATGTGACTCCTGAAAGTGACGTGAAGACATCTCATGACAGAAACAGCAGAGCTTCTTTCCTCGCCGATGATCATTGGTGGAGTCATTAAGATTTGATATAATCAGCTAATGATGAGAAGCTGATATCTGAAGGCTTTGTGCGCCAATCTTTGTTGGTAACAGCGGGAAAGATTCTGTTAACGTCACAGTTTATCCATGTATTTCATCAACCTCATGGTCCGAACTCAGAGTCTGTGTCACTGCTGGACACAAATAATCTTTCATATTCACACACTCCCGCTCTCATTGGCCCTCATGTATTAATCTAACGTACAAACCAGTGCAGAAATCATCTACCGTTAGGGTTCGTGTGTGATTCATGTAACGATCACAGCGTAGGAATGAACGACGTTGATAAATGTGGCAGCTGAAAACAATCACCATTTACATATCCCGCCCCTACATGTTCTCACTTTATATTCTCGTACTGAAATCATTACGTATGTCTTCAGTACGGTTTTGACGTGGTCGTTTTCTCGCTAAAACTTAGCAGAGCAAGCTGTGATGTAAAAACGTGCCGACGCCACACGTGAAGGTTATAAGATAGCAGTTAGTTATTTTGAGCGTCTCTCAGAGTTGCAGCAGTTTGGTTTGCATGCCTGTTAACATAAACAGAAAATATAAAATGGCCGAATAACATTGTTAGATGACGCATGATGTCATGTCAGCAGCGGTGCAGAAAATTTACCTGACCTGCTGTTTTAAGACAGTGCTGCGGGATGCTTTGACTTCAAGCGTCTGTGCGCTGCAGTTGCACTCCTGTGAGAAGCCATTTTCACGTTGGCAGCGAGGTTTTTAGCTGCAGCTTGTTCTCCATAAGAATTCATGCTTGTCTCAGGTGCAGTTTACTTTACTGTGATGTGACAACTAACTAACTATGACATTAATGACATTGATTATGTCGATGAATCACTCAACCCTTACA